ATATTCGGGACGAGACGGTCAACAAAACGCGAGCCGCTAGCCAAGTTATCGCTCTTTCGCAAAATCACTTCGCGAAATTTCCCCCTCGCTTTTCCTGGATTTTCGGATTTCTTCGAGAGTCGCTCGGTCTTAGGACTCGGGACGTCAACGACGCTCGGAGAAGGCCGCGAAGAAAAAAAGAATAAAGAGTAACGCGGACGGGACTCTCTCTCGTAAACGATCCGGCCGTGTGTGAGCTCGAAAGGGCTCGATGCTTCCGTCATGTTAAAGGGCCGGCGTGCCGGTTCGAGCGGTGGTTGGAGCCGGAACGAGATAGAACGGGCGAGAGCGATCGATCGGCCGTGGAAGGAGAAGCGACGAGCGCGGTCGCCGTCGCCGGGAGCCGCCGAGAAGAAGAGAGAGAGAGAGAGACAGAGAGAGAGAGAGAGAGAGAGAGAGAGAGAGAGAGAGAGAGAGAGAGAGAGAGGGGACGAGAAAAGAGAGCTAGACGGGGGGAGCCCACCTCTCCTACCTCTCTCGCTCTCGAAGCCCGAGAGATATCAGATCGCTCGTATAAAACTATCGTATCGTTTAAATACGCACTGAAAGGTGAGGCGATGCATCAGAAGATACGCGGGCGGTGGCAGGCAGCAGCCTCCTCTCTCTCCTCTCTCCTCCACCCCCCAGCCACCTCCCGAAGCCCGCGTCCTCCTTCCGTTCCGTCCGCGCTGTCGATCCGCGCCGAAGATACCCGCCTGGAATCCATGGGAACCACGGAGAAGCAGACTTAACGCGTATAACCCCTTCCCAGCATCGCGGTGCAGCAGGTCCTCCACCCTGGAGGACCGCTTTCGCCTTACCTCCCGGCTGTCCTTCCGCGCCGTCGTTTCTACCCTCGACACACGTGTACGCACTTTCTTTCCTTTCACTCTTCGATCCTCCTCGCGTTTCTGCCTCCTTTCTCCGTTCGGCAACGTGGATCGATGACGGGGTAGCGGCGCATCAGCTGTATGCCTGGAGCCGCAGGCTTCCGAGGACGAGTTGTCCTTTTCGACTCGATATCGAGTATTTCCCAATTTCACCCGCGACGTGAAATTATATGTCGTTCGAAATTGAAGGTTCTCGTCGTGAGTCCTGCGTGAATCTCCGAGGAGACGGAGCAGACGTCGAGACCTTGCCGAGAGTCCGTGTGGACACCACGAGAGAACGCGAACGGACGAAAATGACGGGAAAAATGATGGCTCGCGAGGGAGAGGATCAAAATAGTGTGACTCTCGCCGGGGTGGTCTCTCTCTCTCTCTCTCTCTCTCTCTCTCTCTCTCTCTCTCTCTCTCTCTCTCTCTCTCTCACGGCGCTCTCTCGCGGCGCGGCGCTCGACGTAATCGATCGGTCGCTGTTTATATCGGGATAATTGACAGAAAAGACAGCGCATCTCTCGAGTTTTCAAGGAGGACGACGAGAGAGATGCGATCGCGCCGCGCGCGCGCGCGCGCGCGGCGATTCCGCATCGCCGACGCATCGCTCCGCTCGATATTCACGCCGCCTGCCGCCGGCCGAACCCTCCCCTCCTTCCCCGTTGCCCCGTTGGAATCCGTAATTGGCCGGACATTCCACGTTATGAGTTAATTCCGGCGTGTGTGTCGGCCGCGCGACGGAGATTATATCGCCGCGCGATTCGACAGAGATCCGCGAGGGGCGATCTTATTTTTGCGACGGATGTGCCGCTCGCGGCGTGGCGGTGCCCCAGTTAGTCTAACGAGGGGACGCGTTGAGATTCGCTCGCATTGAAATTCCGCACCATGCGTCTCCCGACGCGTTGTCCGCCCTCGTTGAGTCTCACGAAGATGCGCAAAGATCGTTGGATACAGTTGGATCGGGCTTGTGTTACATCGCCGCGGCGGAAGGATGTAACAAAGGAGGAGAGTCCGCGCTCACTCGACGCTTGGAACAATTCATCGATCCCCCCTCGGCCCCTCGCGCGCGCAAGCGCGAGCGCGAGAGCGAGAGCGCCGCCGGAAAGGTCTTATGGAAAGATGGAAAAGCGTCGTGGCGGCGCCTCTTTCGGCTTTTATATTGAAATTTCAATCAGCTGCAGCGCGCGCCGTTTCGAGGACCGTTTTTGAGAGCCGAAGGGCGCCCCTTCGTGCAATGCGGACGTAATTAATAATAATATCGGCACATAATAATGAAACCGAAGAGTCGCGTGGAACGCGACGCAGAATGCGGAAATGGGAAGGCATGGCTGGACGCGCGACGCGCGTCGGCTGCTTCTGCAAGAACCGGATGCACATAGAGCCTAGAGACAATGGGCGAGACGAGCGGGTGCGGTAGCGATCTTCCGAGTTTTGAAAAGGGCTTCGGAGCGGCGGGGGGGGAGGGGAGGGGAGAGGAGAGTGAAACCGCGCGTCGCGCGCATTGTCCGCTTAATGATTGAGTGGAGACGTGGCAGGTGAAACCGAATACAGACGAGGAGCCGCGCCGGCCCTGTGGAATCTCCGTGGATCCCCGCGGGTCCACCCAGCGGGGCCAGACAAGCGTGGACCCGAATTGTGGGACCCGTCGAGATGGGCGTCTGCTCCCAAGACCTTCGGGACATTGACGATACCCCTTTCATCCGAGCCCATCTTTTCGTGCGGTCCGTTCGCGACCGGCGCCACCCACATCTCACGGAACTACCGGATGGAATTTGCAATTCGATATCTCGGGCGAGGGGTGCGTACGCGGATTCAAGGTGACTCAAGGATGAATGATTGAAAGGGCTCGGACAGGGTGCGCTACGCGCCCCGGAATCTGCGCTCTTGGTTCTGAATCTTGGCGACCGAAGGCGACTACCGTTGCCGCGTGGAGTTGCATCATGAGACAGCGGTTGCTTTATAGAGACGTTAAATCATGAATTACACTGAGAGAAAATGTATGTGATATTTGGAACTATAATGATATAGTAACTAAATTATAGTCCGAAATATCATATTTATTACCAGTAAGTATTACCATAATATCGGTAATAATTACGGATATAGGCACGGTATAACCAACCGTATAATATTTTTACTAAGAATTGTAGTAAGTTAAACTAAAATTATTGTATGGATACAGATATAAAATGGTGGGTAAAGTAACTCTTTTATATAGTCAATATTACCTGAATATTTTTGCTAAATGATGATACGGATGTAACTGTATGAATATTAAATCTCACTATATTTGTGAATGAGAAATTACCATAAAATGGTGGTAAAAGTAACTAAACAATTGTTTAAGACAATCATTGACTATATATATATTTGTGTTTATTCTACTATATTTTGCAGGTTCCACGAACTATAAAAGTACGGTTGACGCCAAAATGAACTATAAAATATAGTGAGATTATAGTTAATTCAACTATATTTTTCTATCAGTGCATACGCTTGATCGTTGAGTGGGAAGATTTCAAGTATTGGGCCGCATTCGCAATCGACGTCGGATTTCTCTGATAAGGTTCCAGGAGCGATGCATATACATATATTTATTACGACGCTCTGCTTTTTCCTTTCTCCGAGGAACATTTTCTAGTCTGACCTGCCCGGTCGTTGAGATCCCGACGAAATCGTGACACTCTCCGAGCGCTGGATGCTGTCGATATGCCTAAATTCCTCCTTCAAGCAAAGAGACGACCACGGAGTTTGCACTCGCCTTCTTCAGAAGCGGATTATCGCGAGGGCTCTCGCGCCGCGGCTGCGCGCGGCGATTTCTCACGTCCGCGGAAAAACGCCCGAAGAAGCGTTAATCGCATACCGCCGCGCCGGCTAATTGGCATGCACCGGCCTCCATTTCGCCATATAAGCGACTACCGCGCGTGCACCGTGTCTAATGTCAAATTACACCTTACATCGCACGTCTATCTCGCATACGCGCGCGCGCGCGCGCGCAATACTCCGTAGACGCTGCCGATCTGTATAACTCGTTCACGGCTGAACGCTGTCGTAATCGGACCTGCCTCCACGGATTAACTGACCCAGATCACACTCGGCCAGAGCAACGATCCCGGTGAGAGAGTCACTCTGTAAAGTGTCCGTCGACAGGTTAGTCAAATGTTTCTAGGACCACAACGTTGCCAACGGGAGAAACAGCGAGTAAGAGGAGAAAGTAGTAAATCAGCGTGCAACGTAGGCGCGTTCACATTGTAGACGGCAACCGCACGAAGAGGTGTCATTAGTATTTGCTTGCAAAAATTCGTCGCCTCGAAAGATGCGTCGTTTTAGAGAGATAAAATCGGATAATCGCCCGAGAGGTGGCGGAAAGTAATGAATATATCAGTGGCAAGTTTGATTGAACATGACGTGAAGAAGCCACGAAGAAGATACGCAGAAAAACCCCGCGAGCTTTCGCAAGTCCCTGATATGCTAATGTCACATGTTAATTATATTTAATTATACATTAAATTAATACGCAACGCACTGCGCGACGCGCGCAGTATGTAATCGCGTAAATGTAAAAAGTGCAAGTAAATCTGCGCAGACGAGCGGCCGACTCTACGATCCACGATTCTCCCGCAGCCTTCTTTTTTCTCGAGTATCTTTAGACGGTCCCTTCGTGTCTACAGAACGACGTCATTAATTAATGTATCTCAGGAGTCCGGCATGCACGCACGCACGCACGCACGCACGTACGCACGCACGCACACGGGAAGGCCCGAAATTGTCTTATTCGCCGGTCGACGCGTAATCCGATTTGTTTCCCGAGCGATCTGATTGCGCGACCTTCTTCAACCTTCCCTCCCCCCTGACCCTCCGCCGACGTTGCTCCTTATCTCCCCGGCATCCTCCCTGAGACCTCTTTGAGACTGCTTGCGACGGACTCTCTGGGAAGATTCTTGCCGATTCCTTTTTTTACGCCCGCCGCCCCTCGCTTTACCGCGCACATATGCGCGCGCCGGGCGCGCCTCTTCTTGTTTCGCGATCGGTGATTTACGTCGCGGACCACGCTACCACGGTAATAGTCCATTAATTGATCCCGGATTCCCCGCCGTGTGCTTTCAGATACGCGGGAGACGGGTTTCGTGAACGCCATCACCGCCGCCGGAGTTACTTATGCGGTTACCAGAGCCTGCACTATGGGTGACCTCGTGGAATGCTCCTGCGATAAGATGACGAAGGGTAAAAGCTTACCTCCCCTCTCTCTCCCTCTCTCTCTCCCCCCCCCGGTCCCTCCTTGCTTCCTTGCGATCTCATCCGTGCGTCTCGATTTCGGCTCTCATCAATTTCGCATCGGAGCCTTCTGCAATCTGTGGGCTCTTAAGAGGCCTCGCTCGATGCTTTCCGCCAGAGATTATGAGGGAACGCTCGAGACTCGTCGTCCCTCCAGCGCTGCGACTAGAAAATTCTCATGCTCGTTTTCATTAGAAATAATATCGTAGTCGGACGATACTTCTTGGGCGGGGGGACTTGGTTCGCGTTTTATTATTTGCGCGGTTTTTCTCTTCGGGGAGGGACAGTATCAATTGGCTTGAAAAATTGAAAGATCACGCGGATTCGCGCGAGATATCGCCAAGTCTCTCGGGGATGAAATAACGGGAATGGGAGAATGATGATTTTCTCGCAGGTAATCGTTTGGCGAAGTTCGCGCGTACGCCTGAGGGGAAGAAAAGTTTGCCAACGGAGGGAGACTGGGAATGGGGAGGATGCGGCGACAATGTGAACTTTGGCTTCAAGAAGTCGCGGGACTTCATGGACGCGCCTTATCGGAAGCGGAGCGACATCAAGACGCTGGTGAAGCTCCATAACAACGACGCCGGCCGACTGGTAAGTCGTTCGTTATTCTTTGGTCAATTCGACGATTTCTACCTGCGATTATTTCTCTCATTGTTTCATCTTGCTCAATACGGCGGTAGGCAAAAGAATTACTTCCTCCGGCTATTTGCCGGTAAACCGGCATAATCTCGTCCTACCATTCTCATAATCGCGCACGATTATGCCGAACGCGACGGGAAAATCACGTTTCACCGGTCGTGGATACTCGAAGAGCCCCGAACAAAAGTCCCGAACATCGCGGATCTCCACTTTGCTTATCGCAAAATGCACAAACTGTGATTTCCGCATTGTCGCGAAGACAGACGATCAAGCTTCACGATCACACATCTCGACAACGAGAACGCGCTACCTTCTTCGCTCTTCTTCAACGACTCCTCAATACGCGGGCTCGATTCCCGCGTCGATCGCGCAGTCGCTCCTAGAGCGACCAAGCCAGAGTGTACATTACCGGCCGACGCGCTATTTGCATTCGCTCTTCAGGCCGTACGGAACTTCATGCGGACCGAGTGCAAGTGCCACGGGCTCTCGGGCTCATGCACGGTGCGCACCTGTTGGCGCAAGATGCCGCCGTTCCGGGAGGTCGGCAACCGCCTGAAGGAGTCCTTCGACGGCGCGGCCAAGGTCATCCCCAGCAACGACGGCCACAGCTTCATCACCGAGGGCCCCACGATCAAGCCGCCCGGTAGATTCGACCTCATCTACAGCGAGGACTCGCCGGACTTCTGCAAGGCGAACCGGAAGACCGGCTCGTTGGGCACGACCGGTCGCCAATGCAACGCGACTAGTCCCGGGGTCGACGGTTGTGAGCTCCTCTGTTGCGGCAGAGGCTACGACACGAGAGTCGTAAAGGAGAAGGTCAACTGCGGCTGCAGGTTCCACTGGTGCTGCGAGGTCACGTGTAACACGTGCCTCGTCAAGAAGACCGTCCACGCCTGCCGTTAACTTGCGACCACGCAAGCGGGCGAACTCTCAACCGGGATCCATCTATGCGGCAGCATCGATCGGCGATCAGACTCACGCTCGCGCTCTCACGGTGGTTGTTGGGTCTCCGCGACGCGGTGTTCTCGTGAAGAGAGACACCGCGCGGCTGGAGAATACCGCGGAAGAGAAATGACCGGAGAGTATTCTCTCTAGCGCACAAGTGATCGCGGACGGAGACGTCGCGACCCTGTCGCGAGGTACCCTGAACGGCTGATGATTGGATTCGAATGCACGACACTTGCGTCTTTGTTTCGCCGACGAGGAGGGATGATCCGCGATCGATATTTTCGTTCACTCGACTCACTGTCGGTGTCTTCATGTTTGATGTTGTAAATTTTCTCCGATTTATTGTTACAATTGGATTGGCCGTTCGATGTGTCTCCGCGCGCACCGCCAAGCGATCGTCCGATCGTCGACGGCGAGATCGCCCGACATCGGCGACGTTGAACGCGATTGAAGAAAAGGGAAAGAAACTCGTCGCTTCTCACTAAGCGTCCTTCCTCTCTCGGCGCGATCGTGATAACATTCTGCTACGTATAATAACGTATAATAACGTCTGTGTGTAATATATCAATCTCTAGGATACAGCTTGATCGTGTAGCGTTTAACTCGACGACGAGCGTTCGGGTGACATGTGATTTACGATTCCCTCGCCGCGAGTGCGCGGGTTTATGAATTAGGTCTAGGTCTACTAAGGGAGGCAGCACGCGAGATATATCTCCGACGGACATTCATCTCGCGTGCTGCGACGCGGGCTCGAGGTCGTCAGTAGTGCATGCGCGAGCTAAGTCAGACGCTGGTCGCTCGCGCGAGGCGACCGCCGCGCGCGCGCGCGCGCGCGCTCACGAGGCAGCTCGAGTGCCCTCTCGGCTGCTTATGCTCGGCCGCGAATGATCAGCGGCTGTTTGAGACCCGCACGCATCCTTGACATCTCGTAGCAACGACTTCGCTGCGCCTCGCGTCCGATCTCGCGCGACGGAGGTGAGAGGTCCCATCGGAGCTTCGTCAAAATCAGACGCGTCGTAGAAACACACACAAAGTGCGGGAACAAATCTCTCACGCTGTCCGCGGATTTGTGGTCGGAGATTTTTTTACTGTTACAATACGATCAGGCCGCCGCTTCTTTAGGTTCTCCTCGCTTCAGGACCTCCCCGAATTAATAACGACTCGGATCAAAAGAGTAACGTAATGACACTCCGTAGCGGGATTCTGCAACTCGTTGACGATAACGGTATCGCCGTTGCGCAAGTATAATATGTGGCAGAGAAGATGCGCAATGTTATGTAACGAGCCGAAAACTGCCATTATCAGCACATTAGGAGTTACAAAATTCCGCTACTGCAGACTTATTTTGCAGAAACTTTCAACGACAAGTGTCTTTATCGTTTCGTTGTGCCACCTTTCACTACGCAACGACAATATATGACAAGTTACAACTTACAGAATAGGCCTGCCGAATAGATTTCTCTCCAATCTGTATAACACAAAGTGTCATTAACCGGAGCAGTCACTTTTTTGACAATCGAGACAGTAAATAACAACAGTGAGAGATCTCGTCGACGAAAGTTGTAGTGAAAAGAAGGACTCTATCTTTTATATTTATTCTTTAAGAGACGCGCGATCGGCTTGCAGTGCGTTTCAACGAGAAACACGAATCGTTCGGGGGCGGAAGTGGAGCGAGGTGATCCCTCTGCTTCGTAAGAACAATCGATCGCGGCTATGTAGGATGTAGTTGTTATCAGAATCGCCGAGACGCGCGAGGCGATCGGCTTCATTAATTTCGGGTGTCGAAGCTTTCCACGTATCTCCACTGCTCGTAATACACTTTAAGGCGTACACGTTTAAGTCGTATGGCGAATTTACTTGTAAAGCGTGCTTCGCCGAGGCGTCGTAACGCGCCGGCGTTCGCACCCTTCGGCGGATTGCTTCTCCGCTTTCAAAGCGCCGCGAGCTCGGACTGCCGCAGCGCAAGCCCTGAGTCCCGGTATCAATTCGACATCAACGGCACGGAAAACATCGCGTCTAAGTGCCCCACGTCCGATCGCCACCTCCCGCCACGAGTTCCCGTACCGATCACGCAGCTCGATTTCTCCCGGGGCTCGGGATTACGCTCTCTCTCTCTCCCTCCCTCCCTCCCTCTCTCTCTCTCTCTCTCTCTCTCTCTCTCTCTCTCTCTGTCTCTCTGCCTCTCTCTCTCTCTCTCTCTCTCTCTTTCTCTTTCTCGCTTTATGCGCGCGTATCCAATTATGTTGCTTTTGCCGTCGCGTGACATAAGCTTTTTGTGCCATACCTTGCGACTCGATCGATCGACGCTTTGGCCACACGTGCGCCCGCTGCCCGCCGGCAGAGAGACGCACGCGAGACTTCTCCGTTTCTCAAGTAATCGCTCCTTATCGATCCTCGAGTCTCAACGCGTTTCGCAGGACTTCCTCTCTTCCTCTCTCTCTCTCTCTCTCTCTCTTTCTTTCTCTCTTCCTCTTTTTCTTTTTCTTCTCTCTGTTTCTTCCTCTCTCTCTCTCCCTCCCTCTCTCTCTCTCTCTCTCTCTCTCTCTCTCTCTCTCTCTCTCTCTCTCTCTGTCTGTTGTGTATATATAAGACTGAATTATCGAAGTTGCGCTGTCGCACGTGATGCGAATTGAGTACGAGTAAAATTATATTCACGCGCGCGAATCTTGTCTGTTACGATTAAGATTATGATGCGAGTTGCTCATCGGTCTAGCCGATGAACGACGACCGTCGTCTAAGGACGGAGACAGGACGGATGGATAGAAATACATAGACGATTGTATTGCGAATCACACCATGTGTTTTCAGTTTATCCACTACGACTTATCCTCGCTCCCGCTCTCGCTCCCGTTACGAATTATCTGAGATCGCAGGTAAGTGAACAAACGGACTGTATACTTTGATGAATATCGTGCGCGATGTATTTATTTCGGGCGATAGAGCCGGCAAAGAGCCCACAAAGAGCGTTTCACACGCTCTAACCTTTTCCTTTCTGTGTAACGTTAATTCATTCCATATTAGCTCCGTCGCGTTATTCTTCTTTTCGTAATCTGAGCTTTACCGTGTCAACGGCCTCCATTTTCTATTCTGGTGCAGGTACTCGGCGAGCCTGGCGTTCCCTTGTAACCTCGATTATAACTGTTATTTGGATAGGATATTTCGGAATCTTCCGTCAAACTCGCTCGGTGAGAAGGGGGGAAAAGGAACGCTGAAAACTTAATCTCGAAGGACGCCCCGACACGTCCCCGAGCGGCGACGGAGGGAGTTTGCCCCTTCGTTCTCACGTGCCTGGGAACGTGATAATAAGGATAAATTAAGGAAACATCGAGAATTGAGAGGCCCCGTATATCACCGCGCCGTGTAGAACACAGGCCTTTACCTGTAATTTCGGTCTTATACACGAGCGTGTTTCACGGGCAATAAAGAGGACTGCTGCCATCTCTTGTAAAATAGTTTTACGGCGACCGGCAAGAGGAATTTCGCATCACCATAAAGGCCGGTCAAGGGCTCGCGCCGTATCGTGCGCACGCGCGCGAGCGCGCGCGCGCGCGCGCGCGCTCGCCGCATTTCGGCGATAGCGGGAGCCATAAACCGAAAAGAAGAAGAGATCCCTCTTTTCCTCGCTTTATCTCTCCGCGTATTTTCCCGCTCTTGTCCGCCGTCGGGCAAGTTTCTTTCCTTCCTCCGTTTTCCCTTCCTCCTCGCCCGAATTCTCGAGTTCGAGATAAATCCAATGACGAACAGCGACAGGCAGTGCTTCCTCGGCGGAGCTCGTCGATTAGACGCGGCGGGTGCCGCGATCGACGATTTCTCGCGGGAAGCTTCGCGCGCCTAGCGACACACGCGAGAGATTGCGCGTTCGATCGACGGCGATTCAACCACCGCCGCGCATTCCCACAGCGTGGCCACCCCAAAAAAAGCCTCCTTAAAGAAGAGAGACTCTTAGAGAGGCGAGCTTACACCCTCCAATTTAATACGTGACGCGGCACGGCGCGCCGGCGTGCGAGAGCGCGTCCGGGTAAAAGTCTCTTAATAGAGAGGTCGACCTCTCTCGGAGGTACGAAAGTGGTGAGGCGCAATTAGCCCCACCAAGGGGGGGACTGTCTGGGCTCGATTAGCCCATGGCCAGGAGATTGGTCTGCAGCGGCACGACTGGGTGGTCCAACCGGGGTAATTTTCGACTGCCGTCGACGTTCTCCTTCGGGGGAAAAATGGCCCCTCGAAATTGGCCCCGGACTTACCGGGCCGTGGGTCCGCCACAGCGCGACGCCATTTTTAGAATCTTCTCCAACCTGCCCCTCGTGCGTTTCTGATTTTCGTCCCCTTCGAGGCCCCTTCGAGAGGCCCCTTCGAGACGCGCCTCCGACGGGCAGAAAGAGAGAGAGAGAGAGAGAGAGAAAGTGAGGAGGTGGGGGAGCGAGACTCCCCGGTAATTCAATTTTGAGAGAAAAAACGCGGTATACACGCGGCTACATCTCGCGCGTTGATGAAAACATCCTCCGACTGTCGGGTCTGTACGGTGTGAGAACGCGGTTTCGATCTTGCTTTTACGGCCGCCGGCCATCATCCTACGGGGACGTGGCGGTGTAATTTTTATTATCAGGCGCGCGCGCAACCTCTCTGGTGTTTACTTATTTACGTGTCTCGCTTTCTGCGCCGAATGTGTGTGGAAAGTGGTTGATAAGTGGCCGTACGGGACAACCGACGGTGACTGCTTCATTTAGACTGCATTCGTGAGATACTTCGCGATTGATATACATTTGTAACAGGATCTTTCGCATCGAATCGTGCAGACTTATTTAATTATTCGAATTAAACAAGCTTGCTCCAACTCATTGGGACGGCCAGTGGTCGCACTTGGGACGCTTCTTCTCTTGTAGAATAAGATCAGTCGAGCGATATACGTGTAATTTTATTTCCACGCTTTCAGCACTAAATTCCCTGCTATATTTGCGCTTTTCACAAGAACAGTTCTAACAGCTGGTAGATGATATATTTTGATCAAAAATATACGTGGAACCTTCAACGTTAAGAATCCGTCGTTCTCGTCGCGTCGCGACATAGACGACGAAAGCAAACTTCTGAGACCAACGTCAGCTGTTGAACAAACGTGGACGCGCCGTGACAGAGGATCTCTCTCTCTCTCTCTCTGGCGAAACGCATCCGCGCGCGGGTTTTACGTACGAACTCTCGTACGTAGGAACTCTCCCACGGCGAACGACTGTCCGACACCGTTCCCGGAACGATTAGGCGCGGAACAATGGGCCCCGCGGAACGCACGTGGGTCGTGACGCGCGACAAAACCGCAAAATGCGACCGTGATTAATCGGCCTTGGGCCGCCCTCTCCGCCCGCTCTACCCTCTCCCCGCCCTCCCGCGCAAGAACACCGCGCCTCGCCTCGCGGGAACGCGCCGTGACTCTGTTTTCTTCTCTCCGCGAGCACCCATGCCTCGCTCGCGATGGCGCGCTTAATGCGCGAGCACTCGCCCGCACTTCGCAAGTCTCCGTGCAAGTCGATGATAAATTTCTGCGGCAACGAGCGCGCCCGTTTGTTGCACCGCGTCCTCGCGCCGGACAATGCTCGCGTCTCGCGTTCTCCGCGGGTGCGCGGCTTGTACGCGACCTGACCTGCAACGCAACGGCCAGGGGGCGCGCGTCTGTCTTGTAGTCTTATTCAAGTTATTCGACGAGAGAGCATCACTGCGCTGTCTGAAAAATCTGTCGCTCTTCACTCGGAGAACGTCGTAGAACGAGACCGCTATTTCTATAAATATGCAGATGAGGTGCGTCCTCAAGTTATCCCCGTCGTTAACAACAATTCTCATCTTTCAGGCGCTTTCTCTGAGATGACGTAATGCGCGACGTTTCCATATAAAAACCTGGAAACCTGGAAACAAACTCGCCACACTTGCATCCGCGACACGACCCTGCAAATGCGATGGAAATCCCCTTCCAAGGACTTGCGATCGATTGGGTGACGCAGCCGGCGAGCGGTATGAACTCACGAGGGGTTCCGATGACGGTGAGGGTACCGTCGGGCGACGACGTCGTCGCCACGGTACAACGAATGACCACCGGAGTCCGGAGCTAATATACCCCGACGAGCGGGGTCGGACGACCGTCGCGAAGACGGCATACGCATACCACACGCGCGGGCAAACCAGTCGCGACAGCCGCTCGCGCACGGCGAATTACACATGCAGCTGCGAGAGAGCCTCGCGAAAGACGGAGACAGAGAGACAGAAAGAGACAGAAAGAGAGAGAGAGAGAGAGAGAGAGAGAGAGAGGGAGAGAACGCACAAGGGCGAGACACCGGGAGAGGAGGCGCCGGAGGTGGTCGCCGGCCGTTTCGAGCCGGGCGCGCTGCTCCGACGCCAATATTAATTAAACGATCCCATAAGCGCCTAACAAACTGGCCGTACGTTAGGCGGTTTATTGGGGTCCCCGAGCGGGACGTTAAAATGTTCCAATCTTAATTAGGTAGGTGTTTACAGGAGGATAATTCCACGGGCGCTTAAGCCGCGCTGCGCTGTTTCTACCGGACGCGCGGGCCACCGGGCGCGACGCGCGGGGCCTCTTCCTCCCTCTCGCGCTCGCGACGGCAGAGAGGAGGCCTTGCGCGACCACCGACCTACCCTTGCGCCCCCGTCGCTCCCCGTGCCCTGCCCTCGCTCGTATCTCCGTCGTTGAACGGAGCGCGGACCGATATTACGGCGCGGCGCTCTCCTCGTACAGGACGCTCCGTTTCTCCTTTCTTTTTTTATCTCCACCCTCCTCGCCCCCCTGCTGCCGGCCCCGCGCGCTACTCCCTCGAGAATGATCTTCCGATGTCCTCCGCGCGTCTTTCCTCTCTTTCGCGCCTGCCGCGTCTCTTCTCTCCTCCTCCCGCCGCCGGGGAGTGCCAGGAGCACACCTCCGAAGGACGACGACGACGACGACGACGACGACGACGAGGACGACACGGTACCGCGCGGTCGCTATAAGTGGAGAAGGTCGTTGAAATCTTTACGGTTCAGCTCAGCTTCTCGGAATTTCGTCGCCACCGATATACGCCCGCGGTCTTGCGTAATTATCCGCTCGCGCACCTTCCTTCCTTCTCCTCGCTTCTTCTCACTTTCTCTATCTCGGGCGGATAATCA